CTCCCTGTGTATGATCTCAGCTTGGGATCACTCGATGTTATGTTGATGGGTCCAAACATGCTCTGCTATTCCCGATTTGCTGGTTTCCCTTCAATGTGTGTATTTCTTGCGCTCGGCAATGCGAACTTTCAATGACCTCTTAGTTTCACCGATATATGATTCTCCGCACTGGCAGGGTACCCAGTAAATGCAATTCTTGGAATCGCAGTCCACGTTTGGTGGACTGGTTTTCTTTAGGCTGCTACGGATATTGTTCCCAGATCTGAAGCAGGTCCTGATGTTATACTCGGACCCAATCCTTCTTATCCTTTCCGATAATCCTCTGATGTAGAGAAGTACAAGTACTGGTTGTGGTGGCTTCTCTTCCTTGTAGAGCTATTGCTGTCTTCTAGCTAAAGCCTGTTCTACCATCACTCTGGAGTAAACATTCCGTTGAAGGTTATTTTTGATAATGCCTAGTTCCTTTTCGAGACCTTCCTTTGTATTACAGAGCACGAAAGCACGGTCTAGTAGAGTCTTGATGATTCCTCTCTTAGACGATTGATGGTGGTTGGAGTTCTGGTTCAGATACTGTCCTGTGTGAGCATGTTTGGACTCATCAACATAACATCAACTGGGCTCAAGCTGAAATCATCCACAAAGGGGAACACTGGTATTGAAGTAGTATTGAAGAATTTGACTTTACTAAATGTAACAAAATGGCAGATGCAGCACCCGATGCCAGTGTATATCCAGGACAATCACAACAAGGTACTAGTAAAAATCAAAGTGAATAATATTTCAGTGTGAACAATATTGCATATTTGACATATATTACTGATAAGGGAAACTCAAAGAACCAACTGATCCAGACAGTGATAATATCTTTCCAAGAAAAACATTACTAGATATATTGTTTCCAACATGAACGTACATGGTTACCCTATCCCTCAATACTTCAGAAGGCGTATTCTGAACAATGTTTGTTATTCTCAAATCAGGCATCTCAAAAAATACAAAATGATTGGATGGAAGGCTATGGCGACTGGAAACATATTATAGACGCCATAGAAAGACACGAGACATCGAAAATTCACAATCAACATTGCCGGTTATATAGAACACTAGATGAAGAGCAAGAGTTCATTATCAAGAAAGAAACATCTTTTTAGCGCCAAGTACCCTCTAGACTCCTTAATGTTACTTTAACGCTTTACACGTGTAATTTAGCCTTCCGTGGCCACATAGAAAAGGCAAGTAGCAATGATCCAAGTTCCCAAGGAAACTTTTTGAGTCACTAGCAGAATACGATTTTACAAGAATTGTTAAGTAATCCAAAGGGCCACATAAAATACTTTAGTCCAAAATACAAAATGATTCAGATAAATGCGAAATATTTATTTTCTTATACGTATGTATTTCTCCTCGATACAGTCTTCAGACTTGTTTCGAATTCTGTCAAGAATATTGGTACATGGGATGTTTCTTCGCCACTTAGGGCTTTGTTCAGGCACACTGCTGTCTGAGCCGGATCTTTCCGGCACTGATGAGAGGTATCACCTGGAAANAAAATAATTTATTGAGAAAGTTTGCAGTTAATAAATTACATAAATAAGCCACCTTATAATATAAATTATACCACAATCTACTTTCTCCGAATAAATTGCCTGTTACCATTCAAACAAGAACTTAATTAAGAAATCAACAGGTACACACCAAACATACCGAGCTACCCAAATTGATGAAAAAATAATAATATAACCTTTGAACGTTCAAAATACAATAAATTCTACATATAGTTACATGTTTATAAATAGAATAACATATTGTATTTTTTACTACCTACAAAAAAATGAAGTCATAGAAAAAATAGCTACTTATATAATCAGATACAAAAAAATTCATTTTGAGGGATTAGCAATGTAGTGCGAAACAAATGAAATTTACCAATGTGTTTCATACAAGATTTTGATAGAAGTTTTGTGGCTAAGCCACCGAAACAGAATTTTACAGCGATAAAACGCTTTTTCCCAACAGCGATAAAACTGACCATGAAATTAACATCTTGGTGTCATTATTCGTGAAGCATAAGTGACCCTCAGGAACTAGTTAGTTATGCATCATTCTCACAAGTTCAATGACTGTCACTATCCTAATCAAATTGAACCAATGGAATCAAATATCCAAATAAGATTGCGATTAAATATTGAAACATTGCATAAATGATTCTAAAAAAATTTACAGGTTCAATTTGATATTATGATTAAAGTGACTAGACCGTATCTCTACTGAGACAACTCAGTCAAACAAAATTCACCAATACAGTGAACAGATACAAGATACCGAAATGAAAAATTAATTTTCACACTTCACTAATTCACATAACCTCGCGAAAATAAAACAACAATCTTTCAATATCAAGAATTTATATATGATTCTCAAGATCATAATCAAATCTTATTCGTATGACGAAACTTTTTTAATTCGAAAGAAAACGTTATTCTGAATTTCAATGAAATCGAAAAGAATACGCGACGTATTGATAATGTCGCGTTGAGTAGGTAAGTCTGAAATTTTTCGTTACTCAATTAATGGAATTTATTTCATTTGAGAATTGATATATGCCGGATATAATCCAACGCCCTTCGTGGTACTAGCCAAGGGAGTAGTTGTTTTTCTGATAGGTGTCAGTCCATTAACCTACTGTGTAGGTTGTTAAGACTGGCCTGAACGAATTGTTCTTTTAGATGATTTGATTTATAGCCAGTCTTCAAGTATGCCCACTGACTATACGTGAAAGATTTCTTTCCTTATACGAGGAATTGGGTAAATTTCGGATATGCAGTTGGTTACCTCGTTCACAGGCAGATGGGGCGACGACAAACCTGTTGTTTGTTGTAGTCTTCAGCTTAGTTCGAGGAATGATACTCTGACGAATTCGATTTTCAATTATCGGAAATCATCCGACTTTA